GCCCGGCTAATTTTTTGATTTATTGCAGAGATGAGGTCTCGCCTGCCCAGGCGGGTCTCGAACCCGCGGGCTCAGGCAATCCACTCACCTCATCCTCCCAAAGGCGCGGGATTACAGTCTGAGCCACCGAACCCGGCTCTATGATTTTCTTTACAGGCAATTTGTATGGCCCTCTGGAAATTTTGATTGATTGTGGGAAAAACTAGAGGGATGTAGTCATATATAACTGAAAGTGATTAGTAACAGAAGCCACAATACAAATAGAGGTGAAGGAAGGCTGGTCAAGGACACCAAATGCTTCCTGTCTTGTCAATGAATGAACTGCTGGGCAATCGACAAGACATCTTGTGGTGATGTTCATTTTTGTTAGTTGCTGAGGTATATGGAAAGGGAAATGTATTAAATATTAAGCATGGAGATCACAGTCTCCAAAATTGGCTGGCAGTAGCATAAATTTATTTCTGCATGTCATCTTGTGACTCCTCCATTCCATGATAGTCCAGTTGTGATCAACTGGCAAAAATCCAAAATTTGGTGTTGGGTACCTAGCCTGGTTCTGATCCTCCAGCTCCTTCTATGGACTGAGTAGCCCTCATGAGGCTCTAGCCTCTGGTGCTTTGACAGTAGCTACCCATGCTAATTATTCAATCACTAAGAACTATGAGGAAAATTAGTGCACATTACTTATTGATGCCGTTTCTCTCTCAGACCACCAGAACAGGTTGAACTGCTAGCTGTTACCCAAAAACACTTTCCATTCTCAGAAAATATCTATCCAAGTTACATGAAATATTATTAAGGTCACATAAAAGAATGTCCTTATTATAAAGAATATGCATGATGGAATGCAATGATGCAAGTGTTATGCTGAAATAGGTTAAAATATTGATGGCTTAATTAATTCTTTTATTAGAGATGAGATGTTGCTGCTAGAGAGTCCACTGGAGCAAACGAGACACTATTTAGTCAGAGTGCTGGAATACAGAGAACATGAGAACATTTACTGAAGCTTTGTTAAAGTGAATGTATCTTGTAGTTCTTTTTGATGATTTGTTTATGGATGATTACTGCATTTAAGAAAAAGTAATTCATTCAGTACATCTTAACTTAAAAATCCCTGCCAAGCTGGACATCCTTATCAGTGCTTAGGATAACCGAAAGTGACTTGATTATCCTAATCATTACTACAATTCCTATTTAATTCAACAAGATCTCTCTGCAAAAATAGTGAATTCACTTATGCAACATGTAAACACAATGTAATGTCTAATGCCACTGGGTGTAAGAAAAAGGAGAATAATCAAGGCTATTTCTGGCTGACACTTTTTCTTAATGATCTGCAGCATTTCTGTAAGAGGACCTGCTTTTGTCATCTTCTCTGAAATGAGGCTGTTTCCGCTGAGGCCACTAAGACTCTTGCAATTTGAATTGAAATATTTATCTACGTAGTCATCTTCATTTATAGTTCACTTTGAAAGTAAGCATCAAATGTGCTTGAAAGCACCATTCTATATTGAATATTCTGTCATGCTGTGGTTTCTTTTAACTTTTCATACATAGTTTTATGAAATAACATTTTTTGGTAGATCATAGATTATATTATACATTCACTGGGATCTATATGGGGTTACTCAATCAATATTTTTTATACAAAGTCAAATATTTTTCAAAACACACTAAAACTGTAAGCCTGTCATATACATATTTTTCAGTTTCAAATACAAAAAACGTATGTGCTTGAAATGCCAGACAAAGGTAGAAATTCTCACTGGAGAAAACAGTCAAAGAATCTGCAAATCTGGGGAAAAAAATCAAAGAGAGGCTGCAAAGGCATATTATTAAAATTAAGAATATATGTACCATTTTCAAAGTAGAATCGGTGAAAGTCCATCCCTTCCACTAAATTACCCAAAGCTTCAGGTTCAAAAGCAGTAAGGCCTGGGTCACAGATTTTTCTGTAGGAAGAAAAATAATGAAAATAACCAATAAGTAAATGCTTTAATGTATTTTTATTGCTTCATGTTTAAATATTCTTATTTATCAGTCAGTGAAGGAAAGAACCTCTAAAAAACACTTAAAATATAAAATTTCTAAGGAGGTTGAGGTGTGGACTCTAAAAAGACACTTTACAGAGAACTCTGATAGAGACAAACTAATTTAACCAGTTCAAGCAATGATAATCCACAAGATTTTAGGAGTCTCCTTTTTCAAATTTCTATTTCTTTATTTCCAAGGTGAATTCTCCAGTTTTTCAAACATTCAACTGATGTTTATTATTTTTAAAAATGTTCTCCAAGTTCTAGAGTTCACGTCTGATATATCTTCCAAGTCCTATAAAACTATCTTTGGTTCTGAAGTCAAATGCTTTTGGAATAATTTTTGATGGACCACGTTCATGTCAAATATCGATATTATAATTGACTTGGAGGAAGGTATCACATCCTATACTTCCTGGAAATATACACAATACTTAATTACCTTGTATTTATTTTACCTTTAAGATAAACTAATAGGAGATATAAATGAACATATTAGCTTTCTTTTTAGTTCTAGAAATATAATTCAACAAAGGGGCTACACAATTTAAAAAATTCAGAGAAAGCCAATGGACTTTCTTTGGATAAATTTATTTATTCAGTAAAGAATTACTGAATACTTACTATGTAGCAAATATTCTTCAAAATAAGTAATTTTAGCCAGATGTGGTGGCTCATACCTGTAATTCCAACACTTTGGGAAGCCAACACGGAGGAGGGTTGCTTGAGTCCAGGATTTTGATAACAGCCTGGACAACATAGCAAGACCTTGTATTTACAAAAAAATTTTTAAAAAATAGCTGGGTATGGTAGCGTGTGCCTACTGTAGTTCCACCTACTCAGGAGGGAGGATTGCTTGAGCCCAGGAGTCTGAGGCAGCAGTGAGTCATGATTGTGCCTCTGCACTCTAGCATGAGCTACAGAGTGAGACATTGACTCAAAAACAAAAAACCCCCAAGCAATTATAACGCAATAATTAAAACTAGAATAGAAGCAAATGCAAAGTGCTTGAAACAAGATTACTTATAGATGATAGACTGGAAATACTTAAGAAATAAAGAATATTTGAGCTGGGCTTTGAAGAACAGTCAAAAGTTTTCCAGGTGTGTGAGAGGTGGTAGGCAGGGGGAGGGAAACAGGTGCAATGGTTTGGTCTGGGGAATGATGGGTAGCTGTTTGATATGGGAAACACCGGGTCACTGGGCTATGTATGGAAGACCTCTGGAAACAGAGGGGAAAAAACATTTCCTGTGGCCTGTTGTGACCAGGGTAGGCTTCTCAGAGAAGGTGACAAAATCTGGATTTGAAGAATGTGGGAGTTCAGAGGATAGATAAAAGGAGTACAAGTCAAAGATTTGGGACTGTTTATTAATTTGCCCCAAAGAGCAATATAGTGGATGGGGCCACACCTAATTTCTTATGGAAATTCTCCATTTGGGAGACAAAATTTCTTTCTTTTTTTTGAGTTTGAGTCTCACTCCGTCGCCCAGACTGGAGTGCAGTGGCCGCTCCCGGCCACCGCAGCCTCAACCTGCTGGGCTCCAGCGATCCTTCTGCCTCAGCCTTCCAAGTAGCTGAAACTACAGGTGCGCACTACCACGCCCAGCTAATTTTTGATTTATTGTAGATGAGGGCTCGTCGAGTTACCCAGGCGGGTCTCGAACCCGCGGACTCAGGCAATCCACTCACCTCGGCCTCCCAAAGTGCTGGGATTACAGGCTGAGCCACCGAGCCCGGCCATAAAATTTCTTAATTGTTCAACAGAGATACAAATTTTAGAAGTCAAATTCAGTATGGTTCTTCAAAGTACAGTACCATTTATAGAGTGTGGAACAGGTATTTTTAAAAAAAGTACTTTAAAAGAAGAAATCACAGAGAGGTTATCCTTTGTGTTAAAGAAAGTCTTCAAGGGGATTGGAGTGGGTAGAAATGATAAACTTCACCTCAGAGTGCTTGCTGGGCAGGTATTTTTAAGCTTACAACCAAATAAATATAATTTCTTTCTTTCTTTCTTTTTTTTGAGTTGGAATCTCACTCAAACAAGTTGCCCAGATTGGAGTGCAGTGGCCGCTCCCGGCCACCGCAGCCTCGACCTGCTGGGCTCCGGCGATCCTTCCGCCTCAGCCTTCCGAGTAGCTGAAACTACAGGCGCATGCTACCACACCTGGCTAGTTTTTTATTATTTTATTGTAGAGATGAGGGCTCACCAAGTTGCCCAGGCGGGACTCAAACCCATGCACTCAGGCAATCCACTCACCTCAGTCTCCCAAGGTGCAGGATTACAGGCTGAGCCACCGAGCCTGGTTTATAATTTATTTCTAAGGAGCAAAATGGGAAGAACTGTATTCCTATGGTAATAGAAATTTATTCTGCCAGCGGCTATTATTTCCTCTATAAACAAGGATTTGATTGTCAGTATCAATGAACCAAAATTTCTTACTACATCAGCACTAACATCATCTGGGAATCAGGGTGCTATGATGAATCTTTTCATACAGCCATCAAAGGAGTCAATGTATTTAAAAGTTTGTTAATCTGTTCCTCCATCCATCCATTCATCCAGTCAGTCATCCATCCATCCATCCACATCCACTTACCTATCCATTTATCCATCCTTATACCCATCACCTACCTGCCCACCCACTTACCCACCCATCCATCCATCCATCCATCCATCCATCCATCCATCCATCCATCCATCCATCCATCCATCCATCCATCTCCTTTAATAGGTTTTGGCTTAATAAAAGATTCATAAAGCTGCCATTTGATATGTGGGTGTGTGTGCTCTGAACAGGTGTTCTAAGGACCAGCTGACATAGCTATGTCAGTACATCCTGCCATTCAAAAAACTCCCAGATGGAAGTCTTGTTGGATTATCTCTGGGTTTGAAAATTCAAAATCAGGCCAGATTATAGGCCTCCATAGGCAAAGAAATTAGTGAACTGATATGATCCCAAGATTTTGCATTATTTAGAATACCCTATTTTAAGCTGTCTAAGAATATAGTAAGTACCCATTTTTGCCTGGCGATAGTTGTTCACTGTCCCTGAACCAATAACATCAACAACAAAAAGCAACTTATTACCATTCCATAGAGGAATGCTATTGTAAAATAAGATTTTTTTTTTTTTTTTTCGGGGTTGGAGTCTCACTCTGTCGCCCAGACTGGAGTGCAGTGGCCGCTCCCAACCACCGCAGCCTCGAACTGCTGGGTTCTGGCAATCCTTCCGCCTCAGCCTTCCAAGTAGCCGGAATTACAGGCATGTGCTTACCACGCCCGGCTGATTTTTTGATTTATTGTAGAGATGAGGTCTCGCTGCCCAGGCGGGTCTCGATATAAGATTTTTAAAAAGATGACTCTTATTCTTTGGAGAATCACATGTGTCTAATAATAATAAAACAGAGCAGGTGCTATGGCACAAAATTACAAACAATTGTTTAAAGGGAAACTGTTGTTTCTGACAAAAAAGACTGTCTTTTTTTTTAGTTGGAGTCTTACTCTGCCACCCAGGCTGGAGTGAAGTGGCAGTGGTGCACTCGTGGTCACTGCAGCCTCAACTTGCTGGGCTCAGGAGGCTATTCCACCTCAGCTGGAACCACAGCCATGTGCTACCATGCCCAGCTAATTTTTTGATTAATTGTGGAGACACGGTCTCACCATGTTCCAGTCCTCTAAACTTTGCCTCCCAAAGTGCTGAGATTACAGGCATGAGCCACTACGCCTGGCTAAGAGTGTTCTTTAAATTCCACTACTTTTTATTTCTTTTATCACAAATATACTTTATTAGGTCGTGTTAAGGAATTTATATGCTCATACATACACATGTAAGTGCACAGGTTTGTATATATGTGCACACACATTTAAGTTATAAGAATCAGCTCTTGAATTTAATTTAGTCCTTACACTAAATTACTCTGCTTATATAAAATCTGGAAAGAACAGGAAAGAAGCAGGAAAAAGATTCACACAATTTTACCTCTAAGAGGCAACTTCTTTTTTTTTTTCATTTTAAAAACTAATTTGACATATTTCACTCCACTCTTAATGCTTTTTGCTCATTTAGTTGGGATAATTACGTAGACACCCTTTTATAGCCTGCTTAATTTTCAGCAAAGACATCATAAGTATTTTGTTAGGTTGCTAGAAACTCTAACCATTGTACTAAAGGCATCAAAGATTACTTAATGATTACCATAATGTTATATATATATGTTGTTTCTAATTTTCCACTATTATGAATATTGCTTCATAATATATCTTTGTCTACAAATTTTTGTTCATATCTTAGATTTAAAATTTGTGCTCATGTTAAGTTCTTACAAGTAGAATTACAGGATTAAAGTGAAATGAGACTTGACAAAAGCTTTCTAGTATATAACGACTAACTCCCGCTATTCCTGTCACCACCACCATCCTGAAAACTTGTTTCCATTTATGCTCCATCTCAGGGTATAGGAAAGTCACTATTGTTCTGCAGTATCTGCACCTCACTGGTTGTCAGTAGAGCTTATATCTCAGCTGATTTTATAAGCAGATAATGCTCTTGCACTCAAATTTGCAGATACTAAATAAATAAACACAAATATGCTTTCATTAGTTTACTTGTCAGTTATATTTCCTCTTTTGCTAATAGTTCATTACCCTTACCTATTTTTCGTCTTTTCAATTGTATCCACTTAATATAAAAAATTAACTTTTGACACATCTTACAGATATTTTTCTAAGTTTGTCTCTTAGTTTTATTTTTGACTTTTTAATTAAAGTATACACATTTTATTTACTTAGGCAGAATAATCATTTTATCTTTTCATTTATGATTACTTCTGCTTTTCAACTGAGAAAAATCTTTCTAACCACAGATCGGATAAAATCTATTTTTTACATTTAACTCTTTCACTCGAGTGGAACTCATTTAGTTGAATGGTACAAGAAGAAGGCTTAGATACATTTTTATTCCCAGATAGCTAAATAAGTGATCCATACACTTTGTGCAATAAGCCTTCATGCCCTATTTAAATTGAATGCTTTATTTTTACTTGAGCAAAGTCATTTCCTTTGTATTCCCTATAACTCAGTAGTTTATAAATTTAAGTATTAGAACTCCTTCTTCAAATAAAATATTCCTTAAGAAACAAACATACAAAAGAGATGCAGATGAAGTTGAGCTGTGCTGGCTGAAGCCAGAGAAGGCTTTCTAATATCTTTCTCTGCCCGGGCACCTCTGCAGAACTGCAAGGGAAAACATTTCTTCAACCAAAATGCACATTTTGTGTGCTTTTTTTTTTTTTTTTAATGGTTTGGCTCCCTGGGATGCCCTTCCCTCATGTGGACTTGTGGGAAGTTACACATCTACGCATTTATAAAGAAATCTCTAATCCCTGGGTCAAGATCCTCCGGTTTTCTCTCTTTGAAATCTTAAATATGTTTATTACTCTTGGGGGAACTTAGTCATTAATACCTTGAAGTAAGACTGCTATGACATGTCAGACTTGGAGTTGAACACACACAAATTTAGAAGAATACATTTATACAGAAAATACATTTGCCCTATGCATTAAAGTAAAATAAATGTCCCCCACTCACGTGTAAGCTTCAAAGTCCCCATTGTTGATAGCTTCGATCAGTTGTTCAGTGACTTTGATAATCTCTTGCTTTCGTGCTAAAGGTAAAGATGTAGAGTTGGATGAGAATGAAATTAAAAACCATATAAAATATTATTCTAAAAGTATTGCTATCTTTTTAAAATAGGGTATTCACATTTAAGATACATCTCTCACAAAAGCAAGTGTGGTGTTTCTTTCTCTACAACCTTGCTGCTCAAAGTGCACAGATCAGCAGTACATACTCTGGGAGCTGCTAGAAACACATAGTCTCAGGTCTCACTCCAGACCTACACATTTAGAATCCGCACTATAACACGACTCTCAGGTGACTCCTGACTACATTCTCCTCTGGGAAGCACTACTACTTTTAAAAACTTTGTTTAAAAAAAAAATTGTTAAAAACAATAGTCTGGGCGACAGAGTGAGACTCCAACTCAAAAATAAATAAATAAATAAATAAAAATAAAAACAATAGTCACCTGAGAGGTCAAGGCTGTTTTTTTAAAAAATAGTTTTTACTACTTCAATCAACTTGATTAATTTTTAAAATATATTTCTTTTCATCATTTATAAATATATTAAAAATAATCCTCTTAAAAAATATAATTCTAGCAGGGTATGTCTATTTTCAGAGTAAAGATGATATCTTGCACGGAGACATTCAACTTTATGTAATTATTGGCATTTTCTTACTATTCAGCTCAACTAACACTAAAAAAGAGGACGCCAACACTGTGACTGGCCATCATATTCAGATAAATGGCCTTTAGTAAACTCTGTAAATCGTAGAAGTGACATATGAATCAATCCTGTGAATGAAGGCAGATAATCAGATGGAAGCCCCCTAGTATAGCTGTCAACCTCAACACTGATCATAATTTGTTCTATTAGTAGCCCACAATTGGTATGATTATTAATAGCTGGTTTGGCTCAAATCTTGTCTATTCAGTAAATTTGTTTCTAATTACATCTGCCCTCAAGTGTTCTTTCTCTTTTTTGAAAGCTTGCAGCTCCTGTATCATTCACTTGGCAATTATGCATATGCTATGTCTTGACACTTTCTTCAGTTAAATCATATTATTACTTGTTTTAAAATGTTAATAAACTTTGTACACTGTGTAACATGTCTTCCTAGTTCACATAAAAGCTCCTCAAGGGCAAAGACCATGTTATTTTTTTGTATCCCCTAAAAAGCTTTGCTCAGTGTATTTTATAGATGCTCAGTAAGTTTATGAATTTGATCAATTGAGATTAATAATAATCTTTCCTTGATTATTATTAACACTTTTTAAAACTTATAACATCACTGCATAAATATTTTAAAAATTAAATTTTATTGGATTTTGTTTTAAGATTTGTGATATTCCCTAAAAATCACTGAAAATAGACTGGGAGATCACAAAAAGTTACTTCCAACCTATCTCAGTGAGGTAGCAAGGCTGCTATTTACCACAGAAAAAGCTGACCTCTGGTGTTTGTTCTTTATCGAATAAAGAAATCAGTTTGCATTTTTAACAAACCTGATATTCATTAAGCAGATTTAAATGCTTACATTCATTTTCAAACTCCAAGTTATCCAGGTGATGACATTCTTTATTTAAAAACAAATGTTTTGTAAATCCACTTTTACTTCATTGAGACTCTATGGCACAATCTCAGAACAAATCCAAGCAATAGAGTATCTTATAAAATGTTAATATTGTCCATAATAAGTCTGCTAACCATGTCAAGGCCTATAATATTAAAAAATCACCACATGGGTTAAAATTCGTATTTAGTTACATAATTACCTTTCATTTATATAAAGTAGCACAGGGTTTCTTAGCTCCTATACACATCTCAAACATTTCTTGCCCTTATTCATTTGATTGATGAATATCAAAAACATATCCAACATCAAAACACATTGGCAGAAGTAGTAGCCGGGAATAATTTCTGTAATGGGGATGCTGCCCGTGACACATTTTAGCTTAATTTAGTTAGGCAGTAGGTGATTCATCTGTCTGTGGCCTCAACAGTATGAACATTTGGCAAAAGCTCAAGGCAGTTGACCCGATTCTAGAATATAAAGGACACTGGTGAGGAGGAGCTCAAAAAATGAAAAACGTGGCTACCAAAACTTCCTCCTTGGATGAAATCCTTATTTAAAACTCACAGTTAAAAAAAATATGGTAGAGGGCCCACTGGAAAAACTACAGTTTAGAAAACATTGTCAATTTTTAAAAACTAACAGGAGAATAAAAATGAACATAAGGTCAGTGCCCTTTGTGGAGCTTCATTAGGCTAAGACTCAGTTTACAGAGTGTAAAAGGTTCAGGATCACTTCTTTAAGTGTCTGAAAGTCTCTGCATTTCTTTAGAAGCATAATGAGGAATTAGAACCGTCGGGTGTGTATCTCTCACTCTCTGAAACACGGGCAGAAATATGCATTAGCTCTTCAATGTTTTGCATGCCACAACTGGCTTAAGTTTTGTCCTGCATCATCAAAACAACTCAAATTGCTTTCTCTCAGCTCTTCTTACACTTAGAAGCAATGGTGCTTTTGCTGGCAGAAAAGCAAATGGGAATTAGCCAGGATGCTTCTGTGCTGCGTCATCAGAAGAGCAACGTGACTCTGTTGGCTTAGGAGGGGCCTGGAACTCAGGAATCTTTAGAGTGCTTATTTCCCTGGGGCAAAGGAGCTTGAGTGAGTCACAGACGGCACATGACAGCTGACTCTTTAAAGGAAAGCAGAAGGCTGGAGTGAATCATTTGTATATAGTAGTCAGCTTGTGGCTGGAACTGTTGCCACAAGCCCACGATCTGACCTGGAGGAAGAATGAGGGTTTGATGTTGGCTAACTCTACTCTCATCAGCAGTGAGGTTAAGGGACAGTCGCTGTGTGAGGGGCCTGGATAGACACATTCTGTGGGGAGGGTCCACTCTCATCTGACCCTCCCTCTTCCAGAATACCAAGCAATGAGCACTCCAAAAGTCAAAGTGGGGAGTGCTTGTGATGTGTCATTAATTACACCCAGAAACGGCAGAGTGTGTCAGTAACATTCCCAGAATACCAGAATCTCCTTCCACCCCAGACCTAGCCATTTAATCACAGAAAGCTGACTACTCAGCTTTCTGTGATTTTATTTCTAGAACTGAAGTGCTCAAGTCTATACCCACAGGTCACAAAGTAGCTTCTGGGGATTTCTTGGTGCCTAGGGGAAAGAGAGAAGAGTAAAGCAAGTGGGAGAGATGTTCCAGATTCTGAGTGGAATTACTTTCCATGTAATTATGTAAAACAATGGGGAACATTTTCACATTGAAATTAATGTATTTTTGGCTCTTTTATTGTTCTAAAGAGGCCTGGAAGGGTAAGGTAAGGATGTGAACCAGTGTTTGAAAACAAAACTAAACCAAACGCAAAAACTGAGGGTGATTATATATGTATGTGTGTGCATATGTGTGTGTGTGTATATATTAGATTGCAACATTTCCTCAAACAGAAGACTTGATATAACAAGACTCAGCTATGCAGACACACACTCAGAATAAATATCTGAAGAGAGACCACAAAACCTTGCATAATGTGGACCCTGTCCATCTCACCAAATCCAGGCTCTTTTACTTTATTCCCTCCATGCCACCCTTGCTGCCTTGTTTCAGTAATTCAAAATAGCCATGTTTCCCCCTGTCACCAGCCCTTCACATCTACTGTCCTCTCATCTTGGAAAATTGTCCCCCATCTTTGCTTCTTCTACTTTGATCAGATTTCAACTCAACTATTATTTCTTCAGAAAGGCATTCCCTGACTCGAATGTTATGTAGGGTCCCTGGGATATTACAAATTCACACATATTCTACACTTGATTTGAAAAAGTACTTAGTACACTTGTCGTTACATATTTATCTGTAATTGATTAATCAGCTTTCTCTGTTAATTTGTAAGGGACAGGTACCACACCACTGCAATCTCTGCATCTAACACAGTATATGGCATATTGGAAATGTTCAATAAATACTGGAATGCACAGTGGGTCCAGAATAAACTCAGTGGTTTCTGATTTCCAATGCAATGGCTTTTTCAAAACATGACACTAGATTATTTAGTGATGGTCTTACAGTCTTTAAAAAATATAAAACTGACAAATGGAAATAATTTAAGTATAAAGTAGCATGTCTTATTGTTTATTGACAATGAAAAATATTTTTCTTTTTGATTTGTCAAAAATTAGTCATCGAACTCCTTTATTTCCCTGATTTCCTCATTTCTGCTCATGAAACCATAATTCTGCCAGTCTTTCAACTCAAAACCACAGGTTTCTTCTGGACTCTGCTCTTCCCTTTGTCTCCATACCCGATCATCCATGAACCATTATTTTTCCTTAGTACTTACGATGATGTCTCCCAGGGAACATCCTCAGCCTCTTAATTACTTCATTTGCTTGCTCTTGATAATCTCATTCATTCCTCTGGCTTGGACAACATGGGGAAGACTGCGATTCTCTATGACCGAGACCTTAAGTCTTTCCAGGTACCACGTTCATCTTTCTAGCTGCATGGTTGTGCTGGCATGTCAGACCCAGCATGCCCAAAATGAACCTCAGTATCTTCCTCATGAAGCCTGCTGCTTCTCTCAAATTTCTCATCTTGGGTATTGGCATCATAATTCTACTTCGTTGCCCAAACTAAAAGCCTTGATACCTCCTACAGTTGATCACTAGCTCCTCTATATTCTTCCAAATCTTTCTCAGAGACATCTCTTTCTCTCTGGGCTCACTGCCACTGCTGATTGAGGTTCTCAAGTGTTCCTGACCCTTTCTGCTCCACGGTCTTCTCACACACGGGGCTCGGGCTCTCTCACTCCTCACTGATGTAGAATCATCTTTTTACAGTGCCGAACTGACATTGTTCTCCTTGACCCCTTTACAGTTTTCAGTGTCCCTCCCCTAATGGGCTTCCAGAAGTCGAAGTCCAAATTTCTTTGTTTTAATGATCTTCTTACTTTACTTTTCCAGCTTTCCATCTTCTGATACTTTTGTCCCCTAGGGATCTTATATAATCTGTTCTCCAGCTATAC